GACATTATATATATATATATATATATATTTCTCTGTACATTTTTCTTGGATAAGAAAATGGACTATGGGATTACCTTCTTTGTAACGGGTACATGCAATGCTGATTAGATCTTCAGTGGAGCCACAAAAGGGTTCTTAGGGAAAATTTGAGAGTATTTTTTTTTGTTATTGTTATGTATTTTAAGAGCTGTCATATTTTACTGTAAAACTGCACTGGAACAATATTAAACTTAAAATGCTATACTAGTATATCTGAATGGAATTGTAAATGATTCTCTTAGTAATTAAACAATTTCAGCAACGAAAATGTGCAGTTTTGGCCAATACAGTTTTGAAGGGCCAAAAGATTTTTCAATGATGTATTTTGACTACACAGAGCGCAGATAAGCTACAACAGGTAAACATGTCAAAAATGTGGACACATTTCACCATGAGAAAAAATGATAGAATAGCAACAAGTTTAGCTGAAATACTGAGAGGCAAAAGAAATTTACCACAACTGGTTCATCATGAGGTCCTCAACAGCATATGTAGTTCAATTACCGAAACTTTATTTCAGTTTTGGCTAAAAACTATTTACTGATTGTTTGTTGGAAGCACATTTATAATGCTTTAAAAATCTAATTTTTTTATTTTGGAATAGTGGGGAATTTAACAATGTGTCCTCAATCTTTTTCTTTTCAAATTTCTACTAGTAAGGAAAATACATTTATTTCTGTAGCTTAATAGAAAACCTCATCAGGTGCATGTGGCCTAAGATGGTACAAAGGTGTTTTTGCCAACAGTCTATCAAGTCTGGTTAGAAATCAGTGCCATCATGCGGCTGTCTGCATCCTCTCCGTCTCCGCCCCTGTCATCAACATGTCCAAATAAGGTAAAATCCTGTCTTACCTTAGTGAGGTCAATTCAGCAAATCATGTGCAACTCAACATTGACGTGACCACAATCTCTTCCTGTTTGACAGCACAGTTCAACTGTGCATTGTATTCAAACAACAAAGATGTGATGCAAAGGTGATGCAACATTAAATATTTAGCCTAGTTTAATTGTGCATTTCACTACATGATTTAACTTCTATAACAGAGACATAAATAAATCCAGAAGAAGTGCTTTCATCACGAAAGCTTAAAAAGATCCTTAAAAAGACAAGAAAGTCATGTTTTACCTGAGCTATAACAAAGATATTTCTGAAGAGTTGAAAAACGATCAATAAAAGATTAACTATTGCACAAGTCTTGCATGATCTTAGACTAACACTCGTAAGCCAGTTCCTGTTTCCCTATAGAGAAAAAAACTTGGGCATAATAAAGATCAGAGGACTTGCTGCAAGAACATTCTCAGAAGCTAGTCTGGTTAGGAAATAGAAATAAAACTCCAATACGCATCACATGCAATCCAATGAAAAAACCTACAAAAACACTTGTATCTTCTTTCATTAAGTAGTCAAACTGTATAAATTAATACAATTAATTTCTTTTGAAGCACAATCAGTTTAAACAGCTTTTTCCAGCCACCACCACTTACACTTCAGCTTGTAAAAAGGCACACAGTCAACACTAAAGAAATCAAGGAAAAAGGATGCCAGTACCACCACTAACGCCACCTCACCCTGAAGAACCCTGATGGAAGATCCAGTTGAGGTCCCTGGCCCAGATCTGCCACACTCCTGGGGCATTGAGGGTCTTCGCTATGGTGTGTCCACAGTCTCTTTCTCCCTGTGCTTCCACTGAAGAGAGCCGAGATAAAGGCGTGTTGATGCAGGCATACTTCATTCCACAGCAGGATAAAAAGCTGCGAGTGCAGTCATGCCTTTGTGCTGCGCATTGCTATAGTGATGTACCAGCCCTAAGGCTTGATGTAAGGCCCTACAGCGGAGGAGACATTAGACTGGACATACCTTTACACATCACTGACTCTCGCTCTGAGGAACCACCACCGTTACACAACAATCGCACTATTAGGAATGAATCAGGATTATGGGAGGTGTTTTAAGAGCTTGATTAGAGAGCACTTTCACCCCCACAAATCTATAAAAGAGGATTTGAAAATAAACTCTGGTTTAAAGCATGGTTTCATTCAGTATTGAATACCACTACACAGACTGCCGGATCACAGATTTCAGTAAAAAAAAAAAAATCCCATTTTTCCTTAAGGAATGTTATTTGGGATCATCAAGTCTTAACTTGCTTTCCCTTAATGACAGTGATTTGGAGAGGTGTGGCTCTCTCCAGCACACAGTGTTTTATAGGCCCAAACACACTTCTGCACGGTCCATTTCATGAGTTTTTTCCACTCACAGCCAGTGTTTCAGGTTTCCCCTTTAGAAACTGTTAGTCTAGCGCAGTGTTTCTCAACCCTGGTCCTGGGCGCCCCCCAACACTGCACTTTTTGTATGTCTCCCTTATCTGACACACCCATTTCAGGTCCTGGAGTTTCTTCTAAAGAGCTCATGAGTTGAATCAGGTGTGTTTGATTAGGGAGACACACAAAATGTGCAGTGTTGGGGGGCGCCCAGGACCAGGGTTGAGAAACACTGGTCTAGCGCTATCATGAATCTTACAGCCTCAAGCAACTGATTGCACAACTATTTCTGTGAAGTCATGGATAACGTGATTCAGGACTCCAAGGAAAAAAGGAAAACATTTAGGAATCAAATTAGCCAAATGACTTATTTTGTAAATAAATTACAGAATAATTTGATAAAGAGTGAGCCTTGTTCAGAAATGACTGAGATCAGTTTTAAAATGTTCCAAGAATCTCTTTCACTAAGAACTGGTTTGTAAAAACCATTTGTCTGTGAGTCAGACATCAAGGCTTGTGATGAGTTCACTGTAGCAGGCAAGAAAAACTGGCATGCACTCTGAAGATGTACTTAACCAATGAGTCACATGACAAAATGGATACACAAAGTTTGAGTTTTCCACAAAGTCAAAAGGTGATCAGATTTTAAATTAGTCACAAATTATTTTTTAGCATATTTGTGACCATTTCAGCTGTAATTTCTAGAGCCCTGCTGAGGACCACTTATTCGTCTGTCAATCAACCACTGTTCTTATACTTTGCTGGTAATGTGAGGATAGGCCTGGGCGATAAAACGGTATTGATATTTATCGACGGTACACCTTCTCCGATAGCGATATAACATTTTTTCGATATAGCGCACGATATAGGCACGTCCTATGAGTGACGCAGACAGCACACACAAACACATGCTGAATTGAGTGCTGTGCCTGCCAGTGATGAGGAGATTGGGAATAAAGAATGAATATTAGTCGAATTTAAAATAAACATTTGCATTTGAATGTTAGGTGTGCGTCAGGGAGCATCATCAATGGCGCGCGAGATGCGGTAATAATGATGTAAGTGACGTTGTTGCATTTTAATGTTTTGTTAGTCTCTAGCCCACGAGACACGCCTGCGTTATTCATTCAAAATATTAGAGAAATACAGAAGCTCAATGCGGAGAAGATCTTGATTAGGTTAAAACCGAAACCAAGCCATTAACACAGAACGCATATTCAGCGCATTTTTTAGACGGACACAAAAGTTTCCTTAAAACCCATTTAATCTGCATATAAAACATTAGAAATTAGATATTTAATTTTTATTTTGTGTTTGATTGTTAAAACAAAAAATGTTTTTGTCTCGATAAATTGGGTTAATTTCAAAATACAGTGGTTAAATTTAGACATTTTTTCTATTGCTCTTTATTTTAAAAAAGGCTATAAAAAATGTCAATAATTATCGATACCGAACGATATGAAACATTATATCGTTGATAAATTTTTTAGCTATATCGCCCAGCCCTATGTGAGGATGTAAAACAGGGTTCCTCAAACCAGTGCCCTGCAAATTTTAGCTCCAGCCCAAAACACACATGAGCAAACTAATCAAGGTCTTCAGGATCACTAGAAAATCAAAGGTTGACCAAGATTTCAGTTAAACTCTGCAGGGCAGCAGCCCTCCAAGACCAGGTGTGAGGAACCCTGCTTTAAAAGAAGATAACTATACGGTAGGGCTGGGCAATATGGACAAAAAATTATGATAACATTTTTCATAGTCAATATCAAAATTGATCACAAATTTCAAATCTTTTATTACCTAATTTTTATATGGTAAAATGTAATTATTATTTTGACTGTTTGAGTTTTATTAAAATTAATCGCTGGTCTTTCAGAGTAGTAGGGGTGTAACGATTCACTCGTTTTATCGATGCATCGATTACAAACCCTGACGATGCATATGCATCGATCTTGAAACATGATTTTTGAATCGTGAATCGCCGATTTCGGACAGTAATCTATTTAAAACGCTAAGAATCGAATGAATCGCGATTTCTATAGCGATTCAATGCTTTCAAAATATATACACATTAAATTACTACAAGCACGAATTAATGGAGACATTGAACAGAGTTCGTACCCTCGCATCTCTCCTTCACGCGCTCCACTATTCACCGCCTGAGGCTGTCACAGGATTGCGCTCGCACTCCGTTCGTCTCACTGACACATTTTTTTGAGCTGATGTGTGATCTCATTTCTCCTTAGGACTTGTGGCCAGTAATGCTAAAGTGAAGTAGTTTTACTTTTCTGTAGTTTTTCAATGGCCCTCGGTCATACCGACGACATTACCTGAGCAGTCGAAGGCTGCGCATTTATTGCATGGA